AGCCTTAATTTTTTATCTCCCTGGACTCTGTGGTTTTAGTACACCTTTATAACAAGACTTGAGAATGAAACTTCTCATCGGCTGCATGGTAAACCAGAATGGAAGAGGCTTTCACTGTTACTGTTTACTGTAGTAAACCATAGGTTTACTTCACATAGATGCTTTGGTTAAAATAAACCAGTGATTTAATTCTTGGTTTAACTTCTAACTTAGTTCAGCAAGATTTTCAGTATTACAAGGACATTACAAGTCCCATTAAACAAAGCAAAATAAGCTTTACCCTGAACATTAGTCTAGCCACTGTGACTTACTATATAAAGGCATAGTTCTTAAATGTACCCAGCTCTTCCACTTGTTTCAGCACAGTATCACACCAGATTCAACATAGATAATTTTAAATGGACAGCTGTGTACAAAAATATGATACGTTATTACAAAACTTGAGAAATCAAGCTCTGAATTTTGAAAACACAATACTGTACATTCCCAGTTTTAAAGCGAAAGCAATGTGGATCTACATGTTCTGCAGCTTGAACACAAAGGCTTTTGAATGCAAGCAGCTGACAATGGCATTCAAACACAGAGATTTACTAAAGGATGAGCTGAAAATTTGTCCAATAGACCACTCTGGAAAACCTGTTTCTTGTGCTTTAATAACAAGAACTGGGGCCCTGGTTCTCCCAAAGCTGATGGACGCATCTGTGCATGTGAGAAGACTACTGCAAGGCTACTGATGAGCTTCAACTTAATTGCACATAAGGATCGTGTAGGAACCAGACACTGTTTATATGGCCATATGCTTAGTAAGATGTACTTTTTTTTTTTTTTTTTTTTAACTTTTTTCCCCTGTAACTGATTTCCCTTGCTATGAATGATTGAGAGTAAAAATACATTTGTCTGATCTGGGTCTTGGACATGGTCGGATATAAATTTAGTGGATGATGAGAAGAGGGAGTAACACGCTTCCACCTGTGATGGTACAGCCACTGCTTAATTTATACTCTTAATTTAGTTGAGGCACTGCTATTTTTTGAAATTTCTCTGAGGGCTAAACGCTGCAGTCCTTTCTTGGGCCATTCTCAGCTGTTGTTTCAAGAGGACTTTGGCCTAAGAGCAGGTTGAAAGACTTGGCTTTGAGGACAGCGGACGACACATCTGACCCTTCACGCTGCCAGGCGCAGAACCATCCCCATTCCCCGGGGGCCCCCAGCGTAAGGCATGGGCTGAGGGGGCCAAAGTCTCTGGGGAGGCTCTTTGGGTCTTGGGGAGGGGAGCAAAAGGCTGCGAGAGGAGAAGCGGTGCGTCCTGGTGGGGCAGAGGTGACCATGGTGGTGTTTCGGCGATGCAGAACCCAGCTTCTGAGAAGCTGGCAGCACTCCGGAGATGTGTGAGCGGTGTACTGGGTCTCTGTTATTTCTTCTGCCTTGCCGTGACACCTGCAGGAGGAAGAGGAAATGCACATTATTTGTAGCTATAAAACGAAAGTGATGTGGTTTTGCATGTGTGTGTATCTAATGGTCGGGGTGCTACTAGGGAAATCAGTTTCAGATAACCTTAAAACAGGTGGAGCTAAATCTTCATGTACTTAAAAAACTCGTGTTTACAGAACTGATCCTGATGTTCAAGAGTTTGGGCAACTTTGCTTTTGAGCTGGGCACTAGTTCAGTCCAACAACATGAGTCTTGTGTTTTCCAAGCAGAATATTGGAATATGCTTCTAGATATTAAACTGCTGAATGTACTAAATCTAGAGGATTAGGCAGGACTGTAAGAATCATAGAATCACAGAATCGTTTAGGTTGGAAAAGACCTTTAAGATCATCCAGTCCAACCATTAACCTACACTACCAAGTCTACTCTAAACCAATCAAGGGTAGACTAGACTAAACCATGTCCCAAAGTGCCACATCTACCCGTTTTTTGAACACTTAAAAGAAGGATGGGGTGGCACACTGTCATTTTTAAGAGCTTGTCTCGCTCCATAACCAAAGCAGATACCATTTCTAATGACAGACATGAAGGCAAAGGCCACATAGGAAGACGAGCATTAGCCTGATTACATTCTCCTGCTCCATTAGAAAGCTGCCCACAGACAGTACTGAGTCTGCAGAAGGGGAGGTGGAGCACCTAGTTCTCTAGAATTAAAGGAAAACAATTAAATAAAAAAAAGAAAGAAAGAGAACCTCGACTCTCAAACCCTGCTGTCTCTTTGCAGGGGCAGGCTGATGTGCCACGAGCGTGCCATAGCTGCTGGCAGGCAGCGCTGCGTCCCCCTCTGCCCCTTCCCTCCTTCCTCACCAGGCTGCCTCGGAGCACTGGCCTGTGGTCCCCAGTTGGTTTGTTCTTTTTCTCGGGAATAAATCAAGTAGATTTGTGAGCGGGGAAATTGCCAAAGCCTGGTTGCTTATGTACTTGTGCTTTCAAGACTTTTGTTTCCCCTAACCTTTCTAAGTGACATAAAGATGGCAGGAGAGGAAAAGGGGAGTTACATGAACAGACATGAACATTTGTCTGTAGTGATTCCCTAGGGTCTAAGACGAGGGTACTCAAACAGCAGGTCCCCTGAGTCCAGGCATTTGTACTGTCCCTCCTCTGTTTGACTGTCAGCTTTTGTTAAATGGTCCTTCTTCAAGCCCTTTTCAGATTTGCTTGGAAATGAGTTCAGATGTTACCAGCACACATGAACACAGTGTGACCAGCACTGCCTTGATTCCATGGGAAAACAGGCTTAACCATTTCTTTCAGGAACATGGAGATAATGTGGGATACCACTCATTGGGTGTAAAAGCTGACATTTAAAAAGCATTAACATTAATACAGAAATTGCTGCATAAGAAGATACAGTCAAGGTGAGGCAAGAGCTCAGTAGCTGATTACAACAGTCTTTTACTGCTCTGAAATATTATTTCAGCGAGTCACAGGCTGTTCCTGCCCTTACTCTGCTGCTGTTACAGAAGCATTAAAAAGTGCTAAAGGGAACGAGTCTTGATCCCTGCAGCCAGATCTGCACAAGAAGGAAGAAGATTCCTGTGGCTTCACTGAGACTCAGCAACTTCCACATCCATCAAATCACCAGAGAGAGAAATACCCTGTACCAAAAGAGTGCTGTGACCTGGACAGACCATGTGCTGTTGGGACAATAAATAAGAGAAAAAAAAAAGAGGCAGAACATGCTAAGAAAAAATATTGATGGGGAGCCCTCTAGGCTTGCTGAGTCTGTCGTATCAAGGGGGACGGACTTGAGCTGCATTTGGGTGAGGAAGCACTGTTGCTGGACACTAATTGAAGCAAACAGATTTTTCTTTCCTCTAACCTTTCCAAGTGACATAAAGATGGGAGCAGAGCAGGTTTCAAGGTGCAGCTCATCTCTGCCCGCCTGGCACCAAAGCACAGCCGGGCACTGCTGGCGCGACGTGGCTGTGCCAGGAGCTGCATTTCAAGGATGCGCTGAAACTCCTGCTTGCCTTGGTCACTTCATAAAGGTACCGTTTGTCCATGCATTCCTCTATATTGCTTTCCTATGTCTTCTAAGGGGAATTCAAAGCTGTCTGTGTGTCTGGTTTTTTTCAAATATGACTTTTTTTTAAACCTGCATGCTGGAATCCCTGTGCTTAAAACATACATAATCTGAGTTGTGCCGAACTCACAGTTTCAGCTTCCCTCCTTGTGCAGCACGACCACTGGTCCTGACATATTTCTTACCTGTGCCTCGCTGCTACTATTTTCTGCTCTTGCTGCCAGTCTTCCTTAGGATTTTTAAACCAACAGAGCTACTTCCCCTTTCCACTTGATGTAATCCTGTGGTATGGCACGGAAAGGGCCAAGAGGAGGGCAGGAGTAGTCAGGACTGTAACTACCCAATTTATATCTCCTTTTCTCTTGCTAGCAATGATGCTTCAGTTGCAGGAACAAAAGGAACCCTGTGTGGAAATCCTGCAGAGATTTCTCTCTTCTACTACCCCAGGGGCTGGGAAGGGGCCAGGGCTGCCAGGCTGCATGGGAGCAGGGCTCCCAGCCGGGCTCCCTGCCCCGGGAACTGGGGATGCTGGAGAACAGATACACTCCTTTCAGGAAATGAGACAGTGAGAGATTTGACGTTATTGATTCAGTTCATAAGAGACACTCATCAGCACGGAAAGGACAATGCGTAACTATGCAATTTCAGTACAGTGTGTGTTTTGATTGTTTCTTTTTCTTGCTTTTCTTTCCACTCGATGTAAAAACAGGCAAAGTTTTGCAAATGAAAGTCTCATCCTGAAGCTCCTTAAGTTTTCTTTTCAGGGGCAACTGTATGTTGCCAGCATCAATGAAGGATGCAGGGAACTTGGTACACAGTTTCACTAGAAATTTGGTTTCCCTGTATTGTTTTTAGGAGAGACAAAAGCCAAATTACACACCCCCACGCCCATCCCAGAAAGCTGCATGAATGCACATAAGAAGCATGCATGGTCTGTTTGCTCCAACGGACTTCTTTGTGTGCAACTCTGGAATTGAATTTGGCTTTGAGGTGGAGCTGGTATCTTGCCCCACCTTGCACTTCTCCCCAGGTCCAGTGTTTTATTCCTTTTCCAGATACCGATATTTAAATGGTGCTTTAGGAAGTGGCTACCCGCTTGCAAAGCAAACATTGTTCTTCATAGGAGGTAGGTACTGAAATTGCATTTTTACAGTTTTTGAGAAAATAATGGGATCAAAGCAAGGACTTTGTTTATCACATGAAGCTGGAATCAGTTAGAATAATGACTTTTAATTTTCTGCACGGAAAGGAGGTTTGGCTGCTGCTGACACACAGGACACACGTGGGCTGCGACCACTGACTCCACTCAATGCAAGATCAACACCCTGAAGAGTAAAAATCAGAGTAATGAATTTATTCTACATGTATTTGTGATTAGACACAGAGACAAAAAGCTTAGCTGATATGCTGAATACTGATTAGGTCTGTAAGGTCCCAGTGCTGTGGTTAGTTCACACAGAAACACCTTCGCGAATTTACGTACCTCATTGTACCACACAACCTTTTTTTGTTTTATTATCTCCAGTATCAGTCTCAACCTCTGCTTTCAAACAAAAGAGAGACACTAAATATAGCTGATCATGGCAAGGCAAATGTAACAACAGGGGACTTTTTACAACGAAAACATTGTCCAGTAGCAGAGGGGTTCCTAAGATGCCATCCCTGGATGCCCCGTGGCTTTTGGGGGGGTCAGTTCCTTAAGCCAGAAATACTAATTTCGGATGTCAGGAAAGCATCGCCACAGCTGGGAGTGTTGCTGCAGCTCCTCCTGTTGCCTCCTGGGAAGCAAGTTTGGGAACCACTGCTCTGGGAAACCACTTCTGGTTTGTGGCTTGTTTTTCAACTAGGGGAGGGTGGCATGTTTAGAAATATAAATAACTACAGCCCCAGGGCATGCTGGCACTATAAGGGTAAGTCCCTCTGTGGTAGATGCTCAACCATGCCATCTTTCTCAGCAGTGGGTATTCAAATCCTCCTTTCATTTCTCCTCCACCTTCCTTGGAAGGAAAAACATTAAACATTGATAAAAAGAGACTTCCACCACATTCCTGCCCATTTGCCTGACCCCGGGATCTTGCAGAAAACAGGCTGTGGACAGTACATTGCATCTTTCCAAAGGCTGACAGTCCGATATATCTTCCCCATGAGGCACCTCTAATTTGGGATTGAAGTACCCACCCATGGGTGGCTTCAGCTTGGTAGAGTCTGAGGGACTTGGACGCACTTCCCAGGTTTGGGACCGGCTGCGGATGCTCGCTGTCAGGCAGAGCACGGGGTGGCTCCACACCTCTGGCAGCTGAGCTCTCCCCTGGCACCAGTGGGGCAGCCCAGCGCGAGGTCCCGATTTGGCCGGCCAAATACAATCCTTTGTACAAGCATCAGCAAGATGCTATTTTTTACTTGTTGGCTTTCTGCCCTCATCCTGCAGTGACAGCTCAAGGGCCTGTTGTTCAGGAGCCACCTGAAGTACCCCTGGGGCAAGTTTTCAAGTTACTGCAGGCAAAGTGCTCTTGTAACGAGGCTTAGGAGAGGAAAAACCAAACAAACCCACGGCAGCACTGATCTTGCTGGGTTATGTGTTTATAAGTAGTTGAGAGGGGGTGATCATTGATTAAGTACCCAGTATTAACTGCTCTTAATCACTGCTCTGGAGTCTAATCGAGCTCTTGTTTGCACATAACCATGCCTTGTAGCTGTCTTTAGCACACTTGACAGATGTGCTTATTGCCATCTTTACTGCGTATGTGTAATGGGCTTTTTAATTATTGATTCATCATTACCCCTTTATAAACTACTTATAAATGTCAAGAGAATGAAAAATGCTTGTGTTTTTCTTTTTAAGCCTCTTTCACATTTAAAAGAGTAACAGCTCTATGAAACCGAGTGGCTCTAGGGGCAGGGGGCATCAGACCTCAAAATGGGGAGGAACAGATATATATAAATATATGAGGAAGCATCCCCAATTTAGCTCAGTCCCTGAGGGCTATATATGAAATAGCCTACCTGAGTAGCTTTTGCTGTGCCTCTTCTTCTTCCTCCGTTTCCCAGATGGCCTCTGCTTTTCCCTGTCGGTGTGAGTTTGCTCTGGGGGGAGCGTTGCCGAGCAAGAGGAGTCGGTGGCTGGCTCCTCTGAGAAGGACTTCTCTTGAGAGGTGTCCAACAGCGAGTCTGTACCAGGGTCTTCATTTTCCTTTGCCATCTCTTTCAACTCTGCCTGATCAGCCTCATCACAGGGAGCGGACTGAGCGCTGCCAGGGTCGACTCCAGTCTTGCTCGGCCAGGTTTCTGGTTCCGGTGCCAGCCTGTAGCTCTCTGAGCCATCAGCTGGGCGTTCCTTGTCCTGGCCTTCTGAGATGGACCCGTTAAGTTGGTCTCTCAGAGCAGTGCCTGAACCACTGCTCACAAACCTTATCCCCATGCCTATGTTAGCAGCAGAGAAGGCAATGGAGTCGCTCTTCATGCTCTGCCGGAGGCTTGCCCAGCTGTCTGCCTGCTTCATCCCGGTGCCCGGCATGGGCTGACCAGCCCCATCAGCTTCCACCACGCTTACTGAGGGGCTTTCCATCTGGGACTCTGGTGGCAAATTTCCTCCATCACTGTCTTTAGATAATGCCTGGTTTGAAGCTGAGGCATTTGTAACATCTCCACCCGTCTCCATCAGGGCAGTGGTTGAGGGGGGAGTGCTTTCTGAGGGATGACCATCGTTGTTTTGCTTGGTCTTATCATTGATCTGCTTTCCCGCTGCTTGTGGATCCTTAAGGCTCTTTCCTTTAAATAAAAAACATGCAATCAGCCAAAGCTGCAGAGTTGCACCTGGGATCAACCAAGGTGTTTCTGCCCCTGGGAGAGCAGTTGCCTGCAGAGGGTGCACTGACTTAAAGCAGCTAAGTAAAGACATTACCATTTTATCTTCCCAATACCTTCCCTCCTTATATCCCATGTGGTCACCCCAGTTGGACTCCAAGGCTCCAGCTCAGCAAAGCCCCTGCTGTTTTCAGCAGGTGTTTATGTGTCCTTGCTGCCAACTGGCTGATTTCCATGGAAGCCCCCACACTTGCTGAGGTGTCTGAAAGCCTATGGCAGGAAGAGGGGATCTGCCTGCCAGATCCTGAACCAGCCAAGTCTGCTGGCTTGGCTGCATGAGGACTTCAAAACTGCCCATCAGCCAGCCTAATCCTACCCTTGCAAAGCAGGTTTAGGAGAGCCACAGTGCACAAGTCAGGCTCTGCAGGAGGCCAGTGTCCTTCAACTTATCTAACGTGCACTGACACTGCGGTCATAAGACCAAAGAAAAGCTAAACCCATGAGCATCTCCTAACAAGCACCTAAAGAACTTGGGTTCTTCTGCAAATAGGGGTTTCTGGTCTTTTTTTAAGGGCTGTTTAGACTCCCAAATGTAGGTCAAGGCAGGATGCAGCAGTCTCCAAGGCAGACAAGCTGTGCTACTGAGACTCAATAGCACTGAGGGGACTTGTGTGGGGATGACACCAGTGCCCCATCAGCATGGTACTGTGGCTGACCCACAGGTTGCGCCTCTCGGGGCGTTTATCAGCATGGGTACAAGGCCATGCTGCTCCAAATTGCTGCTAATTCTTGGGCAGACTTGGCTGGCAAAAGCTCAGGGATCTCTGCTCCTCTTCTCCACAGCACTGGCTGCAGAGTGTCCTTAAATAAAATGCCCCAAATGCAAACGTGAAGGCTGCTTGGTTGTGTGCTTGGCTCAGGCTCAGAGGCAGATGGGAATGGATAGCTGCAGGTACAGTTGGGTCTGTGTCCTTACCAGACTGGCTCTCCTCCGGGTTCTCCACAGGCGAGGTTTTAGGAATTGCATCCGACTCGTGTCTGTTCTTTGTCTTTCTCAGCGTGAACCCTTTCCTTATGTCGGCCAGCAGCGCATCGATGACACACACCTCCTCCTGCTTCACCGTCCCCTTCTTAACTGGGATAGATAGAGAGAGATGGATCTTAAATGTGCCCATGAGATGGGCCAGAAGGAGACTTTGCAGCGATGCTATTGCTTGGGGCAGGTACTGCTGTCCCAGTACAAGCAACCACTGGGCAAAAACAAGGCACTGATGCCAGGCCTGGGAGCAGCCCGTGCTCTGTGCCCTCACAGCAGCATGTCCTGGCTGAAGTCAAAGAGTTTACTCCAAAGTCTGGGTACTACAGCCTGGCACCAGTGGCAACAGCTCTGCCCAGACTTGTGCCTGGTTGCACCATGACCTTGAAATGCCTCCTGTTTGCTATCCGTGTCAATGAGGGCCTTTTTTTTTTGGGGGGGAGGCAGGGGGAAGGAGAATAATCTTGATTTTTCTTTCCTCTCAGCTTCTTCCAATTGTATTTTTCAGTTGTACCTTTCATTTTCATTCAGAGAAAGGCAGATTTAAGTTATCCACAAGATTTTTGGGACATCAGTAGTCTGGTAAAAAGAAACTCTTCAACTGTATGTGGGGATTTTGCAGTGGGAGAGAAGTCAAATGTTTCTTGTTAGATTTGGGATTCAAAAGTTATGTCTAGAAACTGAAAAAGTAAGAAATGTTTCAGTTTGATTTTTTTTTCCTCTGCTGTTCATTCAGCAACCTAAAATTAACTTCTCTGCCCAGCTGCAACTGTGAAAAGTCAATTCATAGCTATGGCTGTAAGACACCTAAAAGCCTTTAGTCAGCCAGCACCTGGAAACCCACAAAATAAATTACCACTACTGGTCCATTAAAGCAGGATCAGCAAAGAGCTCCTGTTGGCTACATCTCCCTTTTTTGAAGCTCTTTCAGATACTCACTGACTTTTCCATTTTCTCCCTTCTGTCTCTTCCTCTCTTCCTCTTCCAGCTGTTTCTTCCTCTTCTCTGCTTTGGCAGCTTGCTCCTTTCTGTCCTTGTTTTCCTGCAGTGAGGTAACAGGGACATGAGAAGGTTGGCTAAATGTCTGCTAGAAAAGCTGATGAAGAGAAAGATGATCTGCAGATGGTTACAAAGGAGGAAGAGAAATTTCAGCCTTATCCTGTGCAAAAAATAAAATGGGCATGGGGAATAAGTGCGGTCTTGCCAAGAGGATGAGGGAGACCGCTGGCTTGGCGAGGTAGGAGGTGGCAGCAGTGATCTGCCTAACACAGCTACCTACCAGTGTGCAGATCTTCTGCCTGACCTTTAGCTCAGGCAAAAGTGGAAGGTACTGAAGCCACAATTCCCTCCAAAACGGTGGTTTGTTTACTACACATCCCTTTCTGAGCCTGTTTGCTCAGGTTGGAGCAAAGGGTTAAGTTTTATAAGCACCTTCCTCTAAAACTTACATACTTGACTCCAAAGCATCTTTGTGACTCTGCAGCTAAAGTTGCACTAAAATCACAAACCACCAGGGTCTGGGCCAGGCCAGGAGCACCAGCACTGCATGAGGATGCAGTGGAGTAGGGATTAGACACCTCTTCACTGGGTGACCTCATGCCAAGCGCCAAAAGGAAGAGGTCACCTTCCCCCCACCGGATTCGGGTGCCCATCCTGCCCCTGTCTGTCAGAGCAGAGGCATGCACCAGTACTAGGGCTGCTCAGCATCATGTGCGCAAGATGCCAACCTTCAGGGCTCGGATGAAGAGATCTCTGAAGGTCTTCATGGTGCTAAATATGTCCTCTAAGGACGACTTGTTTGGATCTTCACAGAGATAACTTGCAAGTTCTTCTCTCTTCCTTTCAATGGTTTCAAATTCTTCTTCCAGCTTTCTGGAGGCGTCAATGCTATCCTGAAATGCATTTAATATACACAGTAAAACACCACCCAGAGGACAATGAGAGATGTGCACTTAAGGAAAAAAGGATGTCGATGTTAAGAGCTCGGAGCAGGACCGGGCCCTGGCTTTTAACTGCAGCAGAGCTCATAAGGCTGGAAGAAACTAAGACTGGCAGATGATCTGTGCTCCTTGTGACCGTGCTATGCCAGTTTACAGGGGTGGCTTGAGCAAGACATGGAAAGCTCAATACAAAGCTTAATCCCAAGAGAAGGGGTTTACTCTGGTGATCTGTAAGAGGGTGAACGTTTTCACTCAGAGTAAGGAGTCACACAACAGAGTAGAGAGAGCAGTTGGGGCAGAGGCCTGAAGAAATTGCCTCACCAAAGGTATCTAGGTTTGAGATGGAGCTGGCAGATAAACACCGATGGGTTGTATGGTATCGCAGCCTATTTCCAAATCTAAGAGCATGTCTTGCGGCACTATTTTCCACACTCTCATGAGCCTCCTCAGCTGCCTATGTACTGTGCACTGCCTCTGTCTGTGTAATGGGGAAAATACAAAGGAGCTCCATTACTGACCTGGATAAGTTTCTCATACTGTTGTTTCACATCGTCATTTGATGATAATACCTTTCGCTGAAGCTCCAACAACTTCTTTAAATTGGTACTGGACTCCGTGCGTATAATATCAAGATTAATTCTGAAATCACACAGAACCCACCCATTAGTTGACACTCCAGCATCCTGCGCTGACCAAAGAGTGAAAAAGTCTGAGCTGGCGGTTTAGTTGTCCCTCTGCTTCCCACCACTTCACTGAACTGAAACCTGCGCTCTGAACTCTATACAGTCCCAAGCTCATGGAAAACAGCCTCCCTCCGTAGCGCTTATGAAAAGGCTGCCAGGTCTACCTACAACTTTGTGTATTGAGTAGATGAATGCCAAAAAACCTCCACCAGAGCTCGGCATTAGCTCACTTTCCCTGGCTGAAGGCACTTCAGAAACACTTCTGGGTAGCTGGCCTTCACAAGCTCCTGCTACCACAAAGGCAGTGCAGATTTTGGAAGGGCCTGGGAGGCAGCATTAACTGAATGCTCTGCAAATTTCAGCCCTAAGTGTTGCCAGCTGTAGTAGAACTATTATATATTAGAGAGGTTTCAATGTTCATCAACCAAATCTTTTGGTTAAAACTAAATAAGATGCCATCTTGTTAATGTGCTATACCAGCTGCGTGTGTCCTAATTTCTGGTACATTGTTGATGTGTATGGGATTTATTTTTGTTTTTAATTCGAAGGAAGTGACACACAATTTTACCCTGCTGCTTTTGAAACATATTCAAGATCCTTTGGCAGTTCCAGTAGGTCCGTGTGGCTGTTTTCTACTTCCTGAAGCAGAAAAGAGAAAGAAGTGTTATTTGCTGTGCGGTAGGAGCTGAGAGAGGAAGCCGCGGGGAAGAGACACAGGCAGAAGTGCCCAGGAAGGACGACTGCGCCACGTCCTGCTGCTGCTCCCCTTCTGCAGTTTGCTTTGCCTCACACAGCCAAGCCGCATTCGAAATAGGACGGCACGTTCACAGAGGGAAGTCATTGCTCCCAGGCTATAAAAAACATACAAGAGGGCTGAATGTTGAGAAACACTCATAGTTCAAAGCAAAGCTGACCTGCTGCTGAGCTCTTCTTCTACCCTCTTCTGAGGCACCTGCTCTTGGCCAGGGAGGGGGCAGGACGTTTGACGCAGTCTGACACTTCCTACGGTACCAGGAGGGTATCAAAAGGGCATGAATCTTATTTGCATAATTTATTTTCATGGCTGTGATTGCTGAAGCTACTGCTAGCTAAAGCGGGGCTTGCACATGCATAACTGGAATGGAGGGACCTTGATGAATGAAGGTGGCAGAGCAGAACATGGAGAAAAAAGAAAAAAACCCCAGCAATGCAGGGAATAAGAAAGCCATGGGGGTTAGAAGAGAGCCTGAAAAACTCAAGCATAGTCTGATGGAAAAGGGAGAGGCCAGGGAAAGGCAGAAGGGATGAATGGGTACAGACCAGCCAGGATAGCTTTGGTAGCTCTGTGCTTTGCAGCTGATGATGTGCAGATTGCACAAATATGAAAAAGGAAGTTCCAGCCATTGCAGGGAAAGATGCTGGAGGAAAGCAGAGCAAGTCTTAAAATAAAGAGCTCCCTGAGTAGTGCCCACAAGCAGCCTCTGCCAGCCTAAGTGATTCAAATGCTCCCAACTTCTGACACTCTGCAGCTAGCCAGGGAGGATACAAATACGAGCGTGTGGCATTAACTGAAAGTAGAGTAGGAGAAATGGTTCATCTGTGATAAAATCTTTCCCCTTCCCTATTGCTCAGGACTTGGCAGTGGTACCTCCAGAATATGGTGGAGCAGCGTAATGCGGGTTTGGTTTGCTTTGGTTTCTGTTAGTTTGAGTAAAGTGTTGATTTTAAACCCATCGGCATCACCCGTGTGACTTCCCTACAAGATAGAAAGAAAGCAGATGTAACTCCTGCATCCACCCAAATTACAACCCCAAAGGAGATCATCCACATACTGTAATGGGGGGAAGACAAGATAAAAGAAGTCCTTACATAGTTCAGAAAGTTTCCAACTTTGAGAATCAGTTGACAAAAGAGCGGCAGGCGATGACTGTTCAGAAGATCTGAAAAACATGAAGGACTTTTAAAAAAAAAAGCCTGTGTTACACCAGAGGATTTCCTAAACAGCACTGAAACTGGGATTCTGAACTCCACCACACCAAACCTGATATTTCAGCTTTGCAGCCCCAATAGCCCAACCTGCAAAGAAACTGATTCTACATAGATTCAATTCCATGAGTTGTAAAAGTTTTTGTTGTCTTACATTTCTTTCTTTCTTTACATCTGGTCTCTCATTCCTAACAGAAAATAACCTGGAGCTGGACCCTCTTCACTAACAGCTATCAACTCACTGCCTTCCTTGGAAGTACCCCAATTTACCCTGGTGTGGGTGAGGGTAACTGGGCTGCAGTTTTAATCTTGCAGGCTCCATTCAGCTGAGCAGTGAAGCCAGTTCTGACAGCCCTGCAATTATCTGCCAACTGCTAAAACCAGACATGCTCACTCTGTTCTTGGTCTCGCATGGTGGAGGTGATTATCAGGGCATGAAGGGTACAGTCCCTGTCCTTGCTCTCACACCAGGGTGCTGCAGTGGTGTGCTTTCTGAAGCACTCAGCTTGGAGGCAGGAACAGCTCCAAAAGGACAACTGGGCTGCTGGGAAGACACTTTTTGGGGGAAGCTTCAATTTATCCCAGCAGGCAGCTGGAATGCCAGCTGGAAAAACCCCCGGCAGGAGTTGGAGGAACTGGCTCTGTAAGACAGGCAGCACCTGACAGTGCCAAGAAGAGCATCCTGCCCTCAGCGGAGCGGGACCTGAGGTTTCTGCCACAGGAAGCCAAAACCTATTGCATAATCTCTCCATGTACTCACAAAACTGGAATATCAGCAATTTATAGCCCAAAATAACAAACTAAGTGATAAATGGTCCCAACTTCCGACACTCTGCAGCTAGCCAGGGAGGATACAAATACAAGCATGTGGCATTAACTGAGAGTAGGAGAAATGGTTCATCCGTGATAAAATCCTTCCCCTTCCCTATTGCTCAGGACTTGGCAGTGGTTCCATTTGTAGGCAGGTAAAAACTACAGCATCACTACTTTCTGGGGGAAGTTTGGGGGGTGCTTTTCTGGCAGCAGAGAAAATTGCTGTGTGAAGGTATTAACGTGGCAAATAATGATGGATGAATTAACTGTAAAGGGGCCAGCTCTGAAAGTGTTTCAGAGGACTACATATGCTGCAGAAAAAGAGGGCTGAGGGTGAGGGAAAATGATCTCTGGCCCTATTAAGGGCTTTGACCATCAGTGGAGATGCCTAAAGCTGCATCCCGTATTCTGCAGCAAACCAGTGAATGGACCACAGGGGAGATTTTTGGGGGCTGAGTAGTATCATTGCAGAGCTCCAGGGGAGTTTTGAGGGGTTTAAAGCTTCCTGTCATAAATAAGATCCAGAAATAAGGTCAGGTCATTCACCTTCGCAGGCTCTCCGGATGGTTTCAGCTTTCGGCTGAATCATGTCCAGCACAACGGTGGTCTCTTCGCAGATCAGCATACATTCAATGCGCAGCTGGTAGCTAAGGATGGAGATTGATTCAAAGCTTAAAGGCACTGTCATCTTGGCCAGCACAGCGGCCCTCTTCCCACATCACCGGTAAGTCTGTGCACCCCACAACATCACTGTCAACCACATCCACATCAAACCAGTCTCTGCAACTTGTGGAGGGAGAAAAGGGGCTGCCGCTTGCCTTGGGTAACAGGGAAAGGGAAGGCTCTAAGCTGGAAGGAGGAATCCACCAGCTATATCCATCAGTGTTTGTCTGTGAGGGTCCTATAAAGAAACATAAACTTCCCAGAAGTAAACCAAGAAAAAGATTGGGCTGAAGTTTGTGACCAACACCTTTACCTGGGAATCTGAAGGAGGAGAAGATAAAACTGATCTGCGTTTGCTAGCTTTGATTTCTCTTCTTTGAAGGCCTTCAGGTTTTCTATCTAATGAGAAATAAAGAATCAAGACTGCAGGACTGCACTGCGTGTTCAGCTCTGTGAACTAAGGGTACCATTTTTCCTCCTGACCTCATGCTTTTCAGGCAGCAGCTTCAGCAACTGCTTCAGAACCTCAACGTCAAACTTGGTCCGGTCCCCATTCTGGACCATGGCAGCCACATCTTCATTGGAGCTGCAGGGAGGAGGAGCAGAGTCAGCCATCATCCAAAGGCCCCTCTTCCACAGTCACACGCTATGAAGACATGTATCTCTGCAAACGCTCTGCGCTTTCCCTGGTGACAGCCACAATAATCCAAAAGCAAAGATATGTCCCCATGATTAACTTAGAATTAGGACCTGGATCCCTGCTATGCCCCAAATTTTGTTTCTGGCCCTGGTCAAGTGACTCAAGGCCAGAGATCAATCCTGCAACTCACATCTCTGTCTCTGGGCATTTGATTACCTTAAAAGAAAATTTATTTCTTAACTTCTCCATTGGCCCTGTTTTGAGGAGGGATTTGACCTCCAGACGTGTCTCACAGCCTAAGTCACCCTAAGCGTCTGTGCCACAACTTTATCTGGAACATGGAGATGTAACGCCTTTGCCAACATATGGGGATGTTGTTATGTAAAAACATCACCAAACCCCTAAACTCAGTATTTTGAAGACAGTGTAGGACAAACTGGGAAATGTTCAGATGTTTCAGTAACAGAGACCACCAAAGTGCATTGGCTAGAATATATTTCATGAGGACCTTCGAGATACTATGCAAAATCTGCTCAAAATTTTGTCAACTGTCACAAAAATTGGCCACATCTTACCATTTAAATTGCTTCAAAAATATGTTCAAATTGAGACTTTTCTTGGAGTCCAAAAATGTGATCTTCATTAAAGAAAAAGAAGATATCTCGTATTAGATGAGCTGTCTGCAGTGATCTTTATTCGAAAGAACGAGAGGGGCCTCCTCACCTCCTTCGGTTCTGCCTTCACTGGTGCAGCTGTTTTCTCCTTGGGGGTTGGTTGTGGAAAGCAAAACAGTTGCTCTATGCTTGTGTAATCAGGTTCTATAGTTTCCTCGCTGCTGCTGCTCACTGAAGCCCACATTGAGTGACTTTCTGAAAAAAAGACAAGGTGTTCAGACTGGTTACAGGGACAGCTGAAAGCTCCTGGCTTTTGGGGCAATGTGAGATGGCTAGAAGGGACACTTCTTGGAAGATGAATGAAATAAGAAGAGACATATTAGTCCTGAACAAATGCTAATTATTTAGGAGGGACAAGTCCCACAGGCAGGACCCAGAGGGCCTGAAGGGTAATTAAACCTGGTGCCTAACCCCAAGATGCGCAGATAAGGGGCTGCAGCACTGGGCACACAGAGGCCATACAGCCCCATCCCTCCCTATACAACTGTGTTCTCCTCCACGGCAGGCAAACCATGAAAAGGACCTCATCCATTTCTTTCCGAGTCCCATGGCCAATGTTATTTTTGCTTCCTTGCATGTTGCTGAGGGATTGGCCACAACCTGGCCATTTTCTGACTGTGACCTTCCTCCATTTTTCATTTTACAATCAAGTCTCCTTGTATAATGCTGGCTACAGGACTGCTTGAATTAATTCCCACTGCACTTTCTTAAACATCTTTTTTTAAAAAAAAAACATCACCCAAATGTGCCTGCAGGAGTCTCTACTGAAATAATGCCAACAATTAACTGCTTCTGTGATTGAAAACATGCCTTATTTAGATTTCACCTATGCCAGCTTCCAAGCAGTGGATGCCTTGCTCATCTAGGACAAAGCTGATGTTGCCTGTCCTAGCTTCTTCTCACATTTCATGCTTCTTTTTGGATCCACTAGGACAGGGAAATGTAACCCAAAAATCAAGAGACAAGTCAATGATTCTCATGGCTCTCCAATTCTTTCAATGTCCTTCCTGAACTGTGATGTGATCCTTACCTGCACTCTTACTCATGACTTTTTTTTTTTCACATGCAAGTATAGATGAACTGGAGAATGAAAGTCTGGGGAACCCAGATCAGAGCCTGTTGAGAACTCAAGCCTAAGGCACATCATGGTGGATTAGGGAAATATTCCTATCCCTCCCCCTTCTTTTAATTTCGAAGTATTTTAGTTATAAACAAGCTATTCCAAACTACTGATTTAGTTGGAATAGTTATTATATTATATTATATTAGTAGTTTCATGCAACTTTTATTAATTTAAGCTCTGCAGGTCAGAAGGGGAAGTTCTGTATCTAAATGGAGTCAACCACATTTGACAAACTCAAAAGACGGTGTTTTCTCCCCTGGGTCATTCCTAAAGAAGCAGTGACTTTATGACAGAAGCACCAACCTCTCACCACCCTGGAGGACAGCTTCTGCCAGTTCAGCTTCTTCATTCTCAACGTTGGCGT